TTCATTTAATGTTATCAACAAACGAGGATGGATGGGGGGCGGGGAGAAGGAGGGAAGGAGGAGGAAGGTAGGTAGAGATGTAGGGAGCGGGGGGCAATTGTCGTTTTCGTGTTTTAGTTTGTCTAATCGATAAGTTTTTCCTTTTTCCCATTTTTTTTTTTTTTTTAGTTGGTTTCTACGGCATGGACGAAACGGTTGTTGTGTAAAGTCGTGATATGTCATTCGTTATTTGTGCTAAATAAATAAATATTATCATTATCATTATTATTATTAATATCAATGCCGTGTTTTTTGTTTGTTTGTTTCTTATTTCTTTGTTTGTTTTAAATGAAAAAAATTAAATAAAATTTGTAAGTAAAAAAGAAAAAAAAAAAAAATTTTTCATTTGAGTTATATTAATATTATTGTTTGGAATGGTAGTCGTAGAAGGTTTAATTGCTTAGTTTACGTAATTAGTATGACGTCATTAAAAGTCCCAAGTTTTCGATGATTCGATCCCTCCCTCTTACTCCTCCCTCCCTCCCAAAAAAAATGGGATGGATTTTTTAAAAAAATTTTTGATTTGAGTCCGTTTTTTTTTTTAATTATTTACCCCCTCCTCCCCCGCGCGTTTCACCCGTGTTTTATCATCATCATCATCATCATTATTATTATCATTATTATTTTGATTACAAAATCCCGCCTGGGATCCAGCATTCCAGGTTTCTCAACACGATTCCTTGAGAATATCGGCGTGGGTAACTCTGTAAAACTTTTTTGATATTATTATTATTATTATTATTATTATTATTATTATTATTATTATCATCGTCATCATCATCATTATCATCATTATGGCGGTGATAATGGAAAAATCCTGAAAAAAAAGTTTTAAATAATTTTTCTTTTGCTTTTTTAAAAGAGAAAACAGGATAAAAAATATCTTTTAATTAAAGGTTTTAATTAAGAAGAGTAAGAAGAGGAGAAGGGGATGATGGAGTAACGCGTCGGGGAGGGGGAGGGTAAGGGTGAAAGGTTACGAAGTTCATTGACGAGGTCATTTCGTTAACATCAAAAAAAAAATTTTTTTTTTTTTTTTAAATAATTTTTTCGTGTTACACGTAAAGTTTTTTTGAAGTGTCAAACTTAATTACATTTAAACCCGAGATTTATCATCATTATTATCTTTATTATTATCGAGGGGGAATAGGGGGTTGGGGGCAGGAGAAGGGGAAGGAAAATTTTTTATTTTTTTCCAGCACCTAAAAAAAAAAAAAATTCTTCAGTTTCATTTCCGTTTTAAAAAAGAAAAAATGTCGTCGTTTAAAAACGACTTTTCTTCTTTACTTTTTCATCATGTTTTTTTTGTACAAACACAATGTTTTTCAACAACAACAACAACAACAACAATGACAAACAGCTACAAACAACAAAAACAACAACAATAATAATAATAATAACAATTTAAAAAAAAAATTAAAAAAAAACTTATTAGGTCAGTCGTCACGATAAATTTCATAAATATAAAAATGGGATGGGAGAGGGAGGGGAAGGAAGAGGATAGAGGGGATGAAAACAAACAACTCTGGGTAAAATAATAATAATAATAATAATTAATTAATATCCGGGGA